GTTTTCTCCTGTAACAACACACCAGAATCCATGGTTTTTTCCTGTAACAACACACCAGAATCCATGGTTTTCTCCTGTAACAACACACCAGAATCCATGGTTTTCTCCTGTAACAACACATCAGAATCCATGGTTTTCTCCTGTAACAACACACCAGAATCCTTGGTTTTCTCCTGTAACAACACACCAGAATCCTGTTTTTTTCCTGTAACAGCACACCAGAATCCTTGGTTTTCTTCTGTAACAACACACCAGAATCCTTGGTTTTCTTCTGTAACAACACACACTAGAATCCTTGGTTTTCTTCTGTAACAACACACACTAGAATCCTTGGTTTTCTCCTGTAACAACACACCAGAATCCATGGTTTTCTCCTGTAACAACACACCAGAATCCATGGTTTTCTCCTGTAACAACACACCAGAATCTAATCCATGTAATTTTTAAAACTGAACATCAAATTCACAGATTGTTATGTTAAGATGTATCTAGCTATGTTACAAGATTACCAAATGGTTCATCTCTAGATTTTCCATAAAACTCAAACAAATATGTCTAAAAACAATCTATGTTTCCACGTTTGTATCTTTTTAAACTAAATATATCTCTTAACAGAATACTCAAACACAATTTTTGGGAGATAAGTAAGTAACTCAGACATGACTAATAATGGATGGGTTCTAAACTCTCTGTAAAAGAACAAGCACACATATCTCATGTAAAATGATTGATCTATGTGACAGTTTTTTTAAGAATGTGTATGCCACGAGTGATTAAAAACTGTAGTAGATGTCAGTCATGTTTGATTCCTTACATATTTGTTAAGAAAAGATGTGTAAGTTTGATCTTGGAAATATATTTAGCTTAAAAAGCTATACATATGGAAATATATGAATTTATTTATTCTTGATGATGTAGGTAAAGTTTACAGTAGCAAAACTGGATTTTATAAGGATTGTTGAAGTGTAACTGACCACCAAATACAACTTTAAATACTTCATGTCAGACCATTTCCACTGGTCCTGTTTATATTAAAAGTTTTATTCCTAATGATGCATGTAACATAATCAGATGACAACTTCATCTTGTATCTTCTCGTGTGTAACAAGATAATTGTAACATCATTTTACTTCTTACTTACCGAAACCATTCTCTCTCTCTCCACGAGTTACGTTAATAAAAAAGTTTATCCACTAATTATCTAGATTAAACACACATGCTAAATTTTGGTTAGATTAAACACACATGCTAAATTTTGGTTAGATTAAACACACATGCTAAATTTTGGTTAGATTAAACACACATGCTAAATTTTGGTTAGATTAAACACACATGCTAAATTTTGGTTAGATTAAACACACATGCTAAATTTTGGTTAAGGTTTTTTAATTCATACGTGTGTTATAGAAGCTTCATTTTTAAGGGGCCTTTTTTATCTGTCAAAGCTTGTCCCTCCACCTAACAAAAATGATTCAAATTTAGCCTGACAATTTAAATATTTGTTTTTCCACTTAAATTCACTGCATCTGAAGATGATCCATTTCTAAGGTCAACCACCCTACCATTGCTAGAATTTGTATTTACTTTGGATTTTACAATTAACTTTGAACAAAAATGATGCATTAACACCACCAATTTCCTTAACAGTCCTCAGTCAGATCCAATCTCAGGTTGAAGTTACTATAGATACAGTAATGTGATACTTAGGTTGAAGTTCTTATAGATACACTAATGTGATACTTAGGTTGAAGTT